TGAGCAATTTCTAATTTTCGGTTCCGAAAACGGTTCTGGTGCGACGCGTGAGCAAGCGCTGTGAGCAGCCTTGCACCGGCGTTTCCCGTAAAGGATGTCACAAACCAAGTAACAGAAACGCCGCCCTGCTTCAGCAGCACTCAGCTCCTGCCGCCACTAAATTACATTATATTTGTCCCATATCGTCATTAATATACATACTGACTTCAACTTGGACCACTAAATAAATAGACTGCTATTGTTATGTAAGTATGAGGGTTAGATTGTTTAGTGTACAGGTCATTTCAAGAGTGATAAACAAAGTGATGGAAAATATTTATTTTCATGCATTTTAAATGTTTAAAAATGTGTAAACCACTCATTGCATCACACCATCTCCTGACTGCATTATTATTTGTAAAATAGGGACTTTATGGAGTGTGTGTATACATGGTTATAAGTACACTTAATATTTCATAAATGAACAAGTGTCTTAGCCCTCAAGGGTCTATTTGGCCAACCAGCTTATTCCTGCTTGAAAAGCAAAATGTTATTCATAGTGTAAAAAACATCAACTTTGAAGCATGTGATTGATGGACTATCATTACTCAACATTACTTAATACCTTACAGCAACACTACATTCAGTGGAGGTAACATAGTGAAAAAATAATAATAGTTCATTTAAATGGAACCGGAAATCGTTAGGCAAAACTGTAATCAGAATATGAAAATTTCTTACGATACCCAACCCTACTGAAAAGTGGTTGATTTGACACGGAATGACCCTATAGTGTTTTTAGGATTATATCTCAGCACTAGGCAAGGCAAGTTTATTTATACTGTATAGCACATTTCATACTAGGGATGAAATGATTCCTCGAATAACTCAAATACAAAAATTAATCGAGGCAAATTATTTACCCTCGAGGCTTCGTTTAGTCCATTTACTGTAACTACACACAGAACAGTGTTTCCCCACAGACCATTATTACTGACGCACAACCCGATAAGCGCTGGACCATAGACTATAAAAACAGGGACCAGACTTTTAAAAAAAGCGCTGGACATATTTAAGACCGTAAATCAATATGGTGGCTAGTTATAATGTCCCTACGTTAGCTATGTTTTGTGAAAAAAAACATTCATTATTTTGCCAACAAAAAAAATCCAAACACAGCCACAGCACTGTGACTCACTTCTTAACAGTGACTTGCTGCCAGCTGCTGGCGGTTTTAATTTCACATTTAAATTATCTTTTCGTTTTTAAAATAATTTTAAATATCAGTATTCAATGTTTTATGTTTAAAATAAAATATTATTTATGCATTTGTAACTGCAGGTTAAATGCATTCATGTCCCTCTGTGTGGCCACAAAGCCTTCCAAGAAGACAGTAAAGGCTCGTGTCATGCTTGAGCTTTAGTTAGGCTGAAACTTGAAAGTTAAGTTGCTCGACATAAATGCAATGTTTGGGTATTATTATTATTTTTATTAGTATTATTTTGATTTATGCCTTAGTTTTAGTTTGTACTGTTTACCTTTTTTAAAGTAATGTGAAATAGATTTTTGTATTTTTATTTTTTTATTGATATATTTGTATTTGCATTTTGAATGTAATTTGGCAATTAAATGCATTAAATGGGTTTAGTTTTCACGGTTATCAACGTATGCAATTTCAGCAATAAAAACGTTAATTTTTCTAAAAAGAAAACAAATTAGTTGTTTATTTTAAGAGATCTATCTTATTATCTCTTGCATATTTAGTATTGCTCTTTAATAAAGAAAAATGACTTCTTATCCGATTACACAATTAATCGATGGAATAATCTGTAGAATACTCGATTACTAAAATAATCGATAGCTACAGCCCTATTTCATACACAATGGTAATTCAAAGTACTTTAAATAAAGGAAGTAAAATAATCATAAAAAATAATCACAATAATAAAACAAGGAATTTTAAACTTTTTAAGTGATTTAAAAATTGATTTAAAATGAATTTACTCATTCAGTAAATGCACAGCTAAACAGATGAGTTTTGAGTCTAGATTTATTTCTCCTTGTTTAACTGAAGAAAGTTCTGGCACATCCAACTGTTAATTTCATCAATGCATTGGCAGAGGGAGTCAATGGGGCTGTAGTCATTTGGAGATAAGGCTAGGTAAATCTGGGTATCATCTGCATAGCTGTGATAGGCAACTTGGTTCTTTCTCATTATTTGACTTAGTGGGAGCATATACAGGCTAAACAAGAGCGGTGCAAGAATTGAGCCTTGTGGGACTCCGCATGTCCTGGCCGTCCACTTAGACTTGTGCTCTCCTATACTCACATAATAACCTCTCCCTCTCCCAAGTATGACCTGAACCATTTGAGTACCATCTCAGAAAGCCTGACCCAGTTTTCCAGTCTCTCTAGTAGTATGTTATGATTGACAGTGTCAAACGCAGCACTGATATTTTGCCAGAATCAGAATTTAAGCGAATATCATTTATTATCTTAATGAGTGCTGTCTCTGTGCTGTAAAGTGGTCGGAAACCAGATCGAAAATTGTCCAGGTATCCATTTGAGTTTAAGTCGTTCTTCAGCTGATTAAAAACTACCTTTTCAATATTCTTGCCTATAAAAGGAAGATTTGATATTGGTCTATAGTTCCTCAATATGGTGTTATCAAGATTGTTATTTTTCTTGCCTTTGCCTTTGCCTTTGGGTCTCGCTCCCTGTTTGTGTCATTGATTTGTCTGTCGATCACTCACCGGCTGTATGCTGAGGGGGTCCGTGATGATGGTCTGCTGTGTGTTCCACCTGTTTTGGAAGTCCAGCAAGTAACTTTGTTTCAAGAACCGCAATCCTTTGTAGAAGTCTGTGGCAGTTCATGCAGCAAGTAGATTCCACAAGAGGCATTTTCTTTCTCACCACACACACTCTCGTAGTTGCTGGCAGTGGGAGGCAAAGAGTCTTCTTTTTCGTAGTATTATTCCTGTCCCAAAAAGTTTTTAGTTTAGTGTTTGTGCCAAAAATGTGTTGTTTGAGCACTGTGCTGATCTGCTGAAGTTAAAATCTTAGAAAAATCTGAGGAAAGTGCATAAACAGGGAGCAAAGCGCAGAGCAGTAAGCAAGAGCGTCCAAACAGTAGCGAAGCCGGAAGCCATAAAAACAAGTCAATACATTGTACTTATGGGAATAATGTAGTGATCAAAACAATGCTTTCTACACACTACTGAGGGAGGAACATCTCAGGATCCACTACTTTGTCTACAAAGTTAATTTCAAGCTTTTAAGCAGAAGCACCTTTCGCGGCTCGTTTGTGTTTCAGGAGAGCATGTCATAACGCAGAGGATCAGCTCTTCTGACTGAAGGTCCTCCACACGTCCTGTCGCTCCTCTCCATCTGTGACCCGTCATGTCCATCGCTCTCAAACAGGTGTTCAACAAGGACAAGACGTTCCGGCCCAAGCGCAGGTTCGAGCCGGGAACGCAGCGTTTCGAGCTGCACAAGCGGGCGCAGGGTGAGGAGACCATTACAATAGTCCACCCTGCTGGTGATAAAGGCATGAACAAGTTTCTCCAAGTCTTGACTGGAAACAAAACCTCTAATTCTTGCAATGTTTTTGAGATGATAGTATGCTGATTTAGTTACTGCTTTGACATGACTACTGAAACTAAGGTCTGTCTCCCGAATCACACCAAGATTCCTGACTTGATTTCTAGTTGTTAGACCCCTAGAGTCAAGGTATGCATTCACCTTGAGAACTTCATCTTTGTTTCCAAATGCAATGACTTCAGTTTTCTCCTTGTTTAACTGAAGAAAGTTCTGGCACATCCAACTGTTAATTTCATCAATGCATTGGCAGAGGGAGTCAATGGGGCTGTAGTCATTTGGAGATAAGGCTAGGTAAATCTGGGTATCATCTGCATAGCTGTGATAGGCAACTTGGTTCTTTCTCATTATTTGACTTAGTGGGAGCATATACAGGCTAAACAAGAGCGGTGCAAGAATTGAGCCTTGTGGGACTCCGCATGTCCTGGCCGTCCACTTAGACTTGTGCTCTCCTATACTCACATAATAACCTCTCCCTCTCCCAAGTATGACCTGAACCATTTGAGTACCATCTCAGAAAGCCTGACCCAGTTTTCCAGTCTCTCTAGTAGTATGTTATGATTGACAGTGTCAAACGCAGCACTGATATTTTGCCAGAATCAGAATTTAAGCGAATATCATTTATTATCTTAATGAGTGCTGTCTCTGTGCTGTAAAGTGGTCGGAAACCAGATCGAAAATTGTCCAGGTATCCATTTGAGTTTAAGTAGTTCTTCAGCTGATTAAAAACTACCTTTTCAATATTCTTGCCTATAAAAGGAAGATTTGATATTGGTCTATAGTTCCTCAATATGGTGTTATCAAGATTGTTATTTTTCTTGCCTTTGCCTTTGCCTTTGGGTCTCGCTCCCTGTTTGTGTCATTGATTTGTCTGTCGATCACTCACCGGCTGTATGCTGAGGGGGTCCGTGATGATGGTCTGCTGTGTGTTCCACCTGTTTTGGAAGTCCAGCAAGTAACTTTGTTTCAAGAACCGCAATCCTTTGTAGAAGTCTGTGGCAGTTCATGCAGCAAGTAGATTCCACAAGAGGCATTTTCTTTCTCACCACACACACTCTCGTAGTTGCTGGCAGTGGGAGGCAAAGAGTCTTCTTTTTCGTAGTATTATTCCTGTCCCAAAAAGTTTTTAGTTTAGTGTTTGTGCCAAAAATGTGTTGTTTGAGCACTGTGCTGATCTGCTGAAGTTAAAATCTTAGAAAAATCTGAGGAAAGTGCATAAACAGGGAGCAAAGCGCAGAGCAGTAAGCAAGAGCGTCCAAACAGTAGCGAAGCCGGAAGCCATAAAAACAAGTCAATACATTGTACTTATGGGAATAATGTAGTGATCAAAACAATGCTTTCTACACACTACTGAGGGAGGAACATCTCAGGATCCACTACTTTGTCTACAAAGTTAATTTCAAGCTTTTAAGCAGAAGCACCTTTCGCGGCTCGTTTGTGTTTCAGGAGAGCATGTCATAACGCAGAGGATCAGCTCTTCTGACTGAAGGTCCTCCACACGTCCTGTCGCTCCTCTCCATCTGTGACCCGTCATGTCCATCGCTCTCAAACAGGTGTTCAACAAGGACAAGACGTTCCGGCCCAAGCGCAGGTTCGAGCCGGGAACGCAGCGTTTCGAGCTGCACAAGCGGGCGCAGGCATCTCTGAGCTCAGGGCTGGATCTGAGAGCGGCGGTGAAGCTGCCGCAGGGCGAGGATCTGAACGACTGGGTGGCCGTGCACGTGGTGGACTTCTTCAACCGCATCAACCTCATCTACGGCACGGTGTGCGAGTTCTGCACGGAGAAGAGCTGTCCGGTGATGTCAGGCGGCCCGCGCTATGAGTACCGATGGCAGGACGAGCACAAGTACAAGAAGCCCACGCCGCTGCCGGCACCGCAGTACATGAACCTGCTGATGGACTGGATAGAGATGCAGATCAATAACGAGGACATCTTCCCCACCAGCATCGGTGAGTGTTTCACTGTTCCATCAGCATCACTGAAATATTATAAATGTGACTCTGCAGCACAAAAGCAGTCATACGCAGCACAGGTATATTTGTAGCAATAGCCAACAATACATTGTATGGGTCAAAATTATCCATTTTTCTTTTATGCCAAAAATCATTAGGATATTAAGTGAAGATCATGTTCCATGATGATATTTTGAAAATTTCCTGAGCCTTAGTTGTTCCACAGGAACACAACAAGCACTGCCTATAGAGCAGAAACGGCCAATCAGCTTCTGGAAGTGGGTCTAATGCAGTTCTTATGAGGCGAACACAAGACGGCACACGCTTGTCTGTCTGAAACTGTACGTGACGCCAGACCCCATCTACAGCACATTTCATTTTATTTTATTTTATTTCATTTAATTTCTTCTTTTATCTTTATCTTCATTTAAAATTATGGATTTTACCTTCAATTATACACTGTATTTTTAGCAATTTTTTTTTTCTCTTTTATTTATTAATGGAAATTGACTTGCATTTCTCAATCGGTCTGTATCTGTATAATTGCTTTAGCAATATGAATGTACAAATATCTGTCATGTCAGTAAAGCACATTAAAACTGCATTGTGAGAGGATCTCAAAAAGCGTGTGCCGTCTTGTGTTCGCCTCATAAGAACTGCATTAGACCCACTTCCAGAAGCTGATTGGCCGTTTCTGCTCTATAGGCAGTGCTTGTTGTGTTCCTGTGGACCTGTAGGACATGTTTGCAGAGTTCTGGATGTTTTTCCCAATTGCTCAATTCTAGATTTTGTTTGCCAGTCGACTTCACACAATCGGCTCAATCGCTGATTCTAATGTTTTCACAGATTCTATTTGGATCTCTATAGGACGCTGTGGTTTTATGGCATCTCTCTCAGTATCTCTCAGTTCATTCCCTTCAGTGTTAAGTTTTACATAGGATGGGATGTTTAGACCTGCTGTAGGTAGTACAGTACATACTATAACGAGGGAGTTATCTTTTTAGTACCTGCAGTTGGTTGGTTTTTCTGATTTGATAAATAGTGTTTGGAAATTAGTTTCCCATATATTTTTCCATTTTTGTTTGCCCAGTTTTTCATGGACAGTTTTTTTTTCAGTTTGTTCCAGTTGTTCAAACATTGGTTTCTATTGACTTTTTCTCAATTATTGTCAGTTGATTTGGAATATATTGTGCTTTTTGTGTTGCTTTAATGTTTCACAGTAAAGTGGTGAATCTCTATTATTTGGGTTTCCATGTTTCTGATTGGTCAGCATTCTGAGGCACTTGCGCATTGCTTAGAAAGTCTTGATCAAACCATTTTTTTAAATATAATTTTTGGATGTGTAATTTTTTTCCCGTTTCTGTTTTCAGCTTTGACTGTTTTGCTGTTCTTTCACAGCTCGATTGAGCCCTACTGTAGTGTGATCTTAGACAGTATCCAGAAAGTTCTCCAACAGCATTTGTATTGTTCGGCTGCTTGTTGTTTTCTGGTTCCCCTCTGCACTGTAGCTCTGATGCTGGAATATATGTGGCATGCATGAAAAAGTTTTGTGATGTGAGTAGCTCTTTTATGGACTTATAGCCAGATCCCACACGGGATCTCAATCAGGGGTGGGGGAAAAATAGATTCTTAGATGCATTGCGATGCAGACGTGGACGATTCTGAATCAATTCACAAATGTCAAAAATTGATTTTCCATTTCTGAATGTTAATGCTGTTTACAGTTGAACCTAATGCTGTTTACAGATCTCTAAAACAGTGTGTATGTTCTTCACCAAAACTAATAGTTCAAGTGTAGTGCCAGATGTTTGTGTATCAGGGGAAAGACTGAATATAAGTACCTCGGTGTTCTGATTGATTCCAGGCTTTCATTTAAGGCTCAAGTTAAAAAGGTCTGTAACCTGGTCAGATTTAGTCTGTCAGATTTTAGATTTATTCATGATTATACATCGTCTGAGGCCGCTTTGATGTATGTGCATTCCATGATTATTTCTCATATCACTTATTGTTTAACTACTTGGTCGCAAGCTAGTATAACTACTCTGAAACCACTGGAGTCTTTATATAAACAATCACTAAAAACTCTTGATAACAAATCAGTTCAGTTTCATCATTGCTCAATACTAAAAAAATACAGTTTGCTAAGCTGGGATAACCTGATCAAATATGTACATATTTGTCTACTGTTTAAAAAAAAAAGTGACGTGGGGCCAAGTATGGTGTCACATACTCAGAATTTGTGCTCTGCATTTAACCCATCCAAGTGCACACACACACACAGCAGTGAACACACACCCGGAGCAGTGGGCAGCCGGGGAGCAGTTGGGGGTTCGGTTCTTGCTCGAGGGTCTCACCTCAGTCTGGTATTGAAGGTGGAGAGAGCGCTGGTTATTCACTCCACCCTCCTACAATCCCTGCCGGACCTGAGACTCGAAATCACGACCTTCGGGTTACAAGTCCGACTCTCTTACCATTAGGCCACGACAAATTGTTATTAGAACAAATGCTCACCGGTCAACAAGGGGCGGGGAAAGAGGGGACTGTATTATTCCTCTCAAGAGATGTCAATTTAGTCAGTCTATATTCTCAGTCAAAACTGCAAGGGAATGGAACTCCATCCCATCAACAAGTAGAAGACTAGATACTTATGGTTCTTTTCAGTTTCTTTTAAAAAAAGACTTCTTTGTACTTATTGCTCTTAGCTATGTTGCTTTCTCCTGTTGCCATCTCTCTCTCTCTCCTTTTCCTTATATTTGATTTTGTCTAGATAACTACTTGTATTTGTATTTTAGTAGTGATTTTTATTGTGCATTCATGTATCTGTATTTTTTCAGTATTTTACTTTTTACTCCCTTTTCTTTGTAGATGTGTATATGTTATATGTGTGTATATGTGCATAAACATGCTCTGTTTTTGTTTTTAGGGTGACTTTTTAACATTCTGTCAAGGGTCTACAGATGAAAAATAGCCTTTTTGGCTAATTCTGGCACATTTACAGTCATGTTTATTAATGTGCATTGCCCCTGTAAACAAATAAAATAAACTAAATAAAAATAATTGATAACGTGATGTTGATGGAACACAAAAAGTGGAACTCTAGCCCTTATTTACACTTTACACTGATGGCTCCGACAAGGTTTTGTTCCGTTCTCTACGCGTTGCCAACTCTGTGTTAAGGTGTAACAGATGCATGATGGTGGCGTGTGAAATCAGACCGGCACCATCTGCGTTAAAAGCTGGAAGCTATGGAAGCACTTTGGCTTCTGACTGGAGGGGGAAAGACCCTGGACAAGAGCCACACTATATGCAAGTTGTGTCAAGCCAAACTAAATTATTGTGGAAACTCAACAAATATGAGAAACCATATTACAGAATATGCTTAAATCTGTATTATAAGTCTGTATTCATTTACTACAAGTATGCTGCTACATGCACATGTTTAATTTCTCGTTGGTTCTTTGTAACCTTATTGTTGACTTGCAAAATCACTTCATGAGCAGAACATAATGAGCTTTTGTTAGGAAACAAAGGCACTAATTCAGTGTCACAAACACACAAACTCATGTACACTTACACAACAGCCACATGTACAGTCTTGCCACCAATACACAAGCATTATTTTGCATAAGAATAACTGCTTCATGATTTGTACTTAAAAAATGATGCAAACGCAAGATTTATTCCTGCTGTTTTCCATTCAGACTCTCGTCGATCATAAACAGAGTGACCGTAAGCGCGCTCAGCAGATCATCTACAAAGGGCTTTTTCATTTTTGCTTGTTTTTTTCGGGTCAGCTGCTGTAGTGAAGGACACTTCCTGTAGGTGTTGAGGTGATTTCCTGTTTTTACAGAGCTTGTGATATTCATATTAAGCAGTCAGTTTTGCTGTTCTAGCAGCGCTAATTGCAGGGAAACGGAGAATTACAGATATCATACATTCACTGTGTTCACTACATTCATACGTGTCAGATCATCAAACATACTGACTGACATACTGTGTGAATGTGTGTGTGTGTGTGTGTGTGTGAGACAGAGAGAGAGAGAGTCTGTGTCTGAGTGAGTGAGTGAGTGAGTGTGTGAGTGTGTGAGTGTGTGTGTGTGTGTGAGAGAGAGTCTGTGTCTGTGAGTGAGTGAGTGAGTGAGTGCGAGTGTGTGTGTGTGAGTGCGAGTGTGCGAGTGTGTGAGGAAGTGAGTGTGTGAGTGTGTGAGTGTGTGTGTGTGTGTGAGAGAGAGTCTGTGTCTGTGAGTGAGTGAGTGAGTGAGTGCGAGTGTGTGTGTGTGAGTGCGAGTGTGCGAGTGTGTGTGTGTGTGTGTGTGTGAGTGCGAGTGTGCGAGTGTGTGAGGGAGTGAGTGTGTGAGTGTGTGAGTGTGTGTGTGTGTGTGAGAGAGAGTCTGTGTCTGTGAGTGAGTGAGTGAGTGAGTGCGAGTGTGTGTGTGTGAGTGCGAGTGTGCGAGTGTGAGGGAGTGAGTGTGTGTGTGTGTGTGTGTGTGTGTGAGTGTGTGTGTGTGTGAGTGTGTGAGTGTGTGTGTGTGTGAGTGTGTGTGTGTGTGTGTGTGTGAGTGTGTGTGTGTGTGTGTCACCATACATGATTGTTGTCACTTATTGAGATTGCTGTGGAGCAGACTAGTGAATGTTCAGATGATTGTGATGTGTTTGTGTTTAATTCATGTAATGTTCCTGTGATTGTTTATCTAGTCCTCTGGTTATGAGACGTTTCTGCTCCACATCTTTATCCTCTGCCACTTCCTCTCTGCTTTCTGTTTGTTTTTCTACATTCATTCTTCCTCTTTGTGTTTTGGTCTTTCAGGAATTCCCTTCCCAAAGAACTTCATCCAGATCTGTAAGAAGATCCTGTGCCGTCTTTTCCGTGTGTTCGTGCACGTCTACATCCATCACTTCGACCGGATCCTCCTGATGGGAGCCGAAGCGCACGTCAACACCTGCTACAAGCACTTCTACTACTTCTCCACCGAACTCAACCTGATAGAGCGGAAGGAGCTGGAGCCGCTGGTGAGAACAGAACCAGACTTTCACATGTGGAACGAGCCGTGTCTGCTTCCATGGCGTAAATACAATAAAGCATCATTTTACTTCCTTCTGAAACTCTCTTCATTTAGAAATGGACTGAATCTGCAGTCGTGAATGATGTTTCTTTCTCATCACGTTCTTGATGCTGATTGCATTAATAATCTCATTTTGAAGCCGTATGACTTTCTTTCTTCTGTGAAGCACAGTGAGATATTCACACAGAAAGTGAGCAGGAGCTAAAAAAAGAAAAGCAGTCTATTCCAGGTCTTCTGAAGTCAAAGATGCTTTGTGGTGGAACAGACACAGATTCAAGTTGTCTTGCTGTGAAGTCTTTTGTATTCATCAGATGAGAGAAAGTCATAGATTTGTAATCAGTGATGACAGAACAAATCATTATCCCTTCAGTGTCTGTGTGTGTGTGTGTATTTGTGTGTGTGTGTCTGTGTGTGTGTGTGTGTGTGAGAGAGTGTGTATATGTGTGTGAGTGAGTGAGTGTCTGTGAGTGTGTGTGTTAGGGCTGGACAATAATTAAATATCAATATGTATCGTGATATGGTTTTTAAACACATTTCCGATATTTCGATATAGCCTACATTACCAGAGTTTCCCATACATTGATTTATTTGTGGCGTTTGACTTCATTGAATAAACATGAGCACTGCACGTTTCAAAATCAAAATGCGTCGTGGGTGTTTTATATGAATATATCTCTAAAGAGAAAGGACTGTCTTCAGAATAGTTTCGATGGAATTTTTATTTGATCTAATAAAGAAGTGTTCACGAGCGGAGCTGATTTGTTTACAGCCGTTACTGGAGAAACCGCTAGTTCTACCGCTCTAAAAGCGCCTCCTGCTGGCAGACAAGCAGTTTGCACTTTTCATACTCTTTATGCTGGCTATCAGCCTACACTTTCACTACCAGTCAAAAGTTTTTGAACAGTAAGATTTTTAATGTTTTTTTTTTTTAAGAATTCTCTTCTGCTCATCAAACCTGCATTTATTTGATCCAAAGTACAGCAAAAAAAAATCAATGTTTTTACTATTTAAAATAACTGCTTTCTATTTGAATATATTTTAAAATGTAATTTATTTCTGTGATCAAAGCTGAATTTTCTGCATCATTACTGCAGTCTTCAGTGTCACATGATCTTCAGAAATCAGTATAATATGCCAATTTTCTGATTATCAACATTTAAAACAGAATTTTTTTTTTCAGGATTCTTTGATGACTAGAAAGACCTAAAGATCAGCATTTATCTGAAATAAAAACCTTTTGTAATATTATACATGCTTTGAAATCACAGGAATAAATTACATTTTAAAATATATTTCAAAATGTTACTGTTTTTGCTGTATTTTGGATAAAAAAAAGGCAGGATTGAAAGAATTTCACATTTCTCATTTGAATGAAGGCTAAATACAAATAAAAGGTGAACAATCATTTATTTGTGCTGGGGTTTTTTTCCTTTTTTTTCTAAAATATTATATGGTTTTATATGAGGTGTCAGAGACTTGGCAAATTCATTTTTCATAAGTTTGTATGCACAGACATCTGTTGTGGCGTTCTTGGCAGTTTTTACAAGGCTTTTTTTTAAGTGTTCATATCGATATCGGAATTATATCGTATCGACTGAAATTAAGAAATATATCGTGATATACATTTTTGCCATATCGTCCAGCCCTAGTGTGTGTGTGTGTGTGCGTGTGTGTGTGTGTGCGCGTGCGAGTGACTGAGTGAGTGTCTGTGTGTGTGTGCATGCGAGTGAGTGACTGAGTGTGTGTGTGTGATATTGCACTAATGTGATTCTCTCTCTCTGGGGATTTCAGAAAGAAATGACCTCTAGAATGTGTTTGTGAGTGTTTCCAAACAAGCACCTGAGAGGCTGTGAGCTGGTCGTTGCCGTGGAGATGAGGTCATCAACAGCCTGTGACATCATCACTGAACTCTAGGGCTGAGGCTGACAGTGAGCAGTGCCATCTAGCGGTGAGGTGCTAACAGAACAATCAGAGGACTAATCGATCACTAGTCGTGTTTCGTCCAGACATCTGCTCAAATCCACACTGGACAGCTTAATTTTAACATTCAGCTCTGTGAGGTTTGGATGAGCTGCTTTCATTCATCTCCATGTCATTTTATTTCTGTTTGTGTTGCACTGAAATTAGTTTTAGTCACTGGATCATTTGAAGAAACGTCTCGCTGTCTTAGAAATCTGATGCTCAGTTCAGCCACAGAGAGTAATTCTGTGAATTCTGCTCGTCTTCAGTGGAGGGGAGCTGAAGTGAATAGAAATGCTCACACAGTATCTGCACTGATTCTGTTCAAATCTCTAGTTTGCATCCTGTTACTAAACCACTAAAATTAATTAGTTTAATTGGTGTTGTGTAAGTTCCATTTTCAAGCTCTCCTCCATTTTTTTTGTTTGAAACTTGAGCGTCCTGCCCTGTAAATTTCTTAAATATTGCAATAAAGAATATTTTTATTGTATTTAACTGTATCACTCCCTACATTTATGAGAACATATAGCTGAAATATTTGATTACAAAGGTTTTTTCAGGAATGTGATTGTTAACTTCAGCCGCTGCTGTTTGTAATACTTCTACATATCCATGCATTGAAATCTGGTTATTTTCTCTGCAGAGTATCTCTAGCCGACCTGAAAAAGCCACACTTGCAGCCTGTAAGCTCTTTATCAGTTGCACTTACCTTGATTACATGAAACCTGTAAGTCAGGAGGTTCTTAAACGCTGCAATCTTAATTCCGCGCCGGATTAGACCGCAGATCTTGAGTGCTTTGACGGGTGTTTCTGCTTTCTTTAGTCTCAGATTTGTGAGCTGAGGCTGATATAAGAGGCAGCGATCGCATCTCTGCTTCTCAGTGCTGCGCCGGAGCTCCAGATGAACACATTTGTGCTCCTCATTCTTCATCATGACACAGACTCGCTTAGATTTCACTGCTATTAGTCAGAGTGTTTTTCCAGTCAAGCTGACTTCTCTCTCAGGTCTGTCTGCTAGAGCGTGAGGGCCGCAGGCTTCATCATGAGTGAGAAACCGTCCTCGTCTGGGCCGCCGCTGTGTGTGCAGCTCTTCTCCGCCGTGGCTCTGGTGTGTTTTGGTCTCTACTGCATCGTCAAAGGATTTTCCTTCGGCCTCTTCAACTGGTGGTACATTCTGGGCGCCGCCTGTCTGCTGGCCACCGGCTTTGCTGCCTTCCGCGTCTACGAGGTGTGTGTGATCATGACACAGAGGGAGACAGCCGAGGGAGAGCCGTGAGGAACGACCCGTTTGTCCTCGTTAGGACGTCAGGACCCATCTTCATGTGGAGTGAATTATTAAATTAGAGCTGCAGACTGACAGAATCCAAGAGAACATGTTTTCTGCTGTTACAGGTCAAATGAGTGACATGTAAAACCATATATTTAGTGTCTTGTACAATTAAATGTTCACAATGCAAGTGACAGTTCCCTGACATAGTGAAAAGTGCTCTTAATCATTAAGCATTATTATATCACAAAACATCTATGAAAGATGTCGGAAAAAGTTTAAGGAAAAATTTAATTGTGCAAAAATGAATTAGCTGATAGTTATAATCTGTGTCCAGAAAATATAGTGTGACATGAATAAAACAATTCAGTTTTTAATAAACTTTTTAGGGTAGTGAAATGGACAAAAGACAAATGTCCTTTTTTAGATCCTGTTTTTTAATGATTAAATCAGGGGGGAAAACTTGCTTATGCTTGCTGGCAGAGTTATTGGATCGTAGATGTCAGTTTGGATTGATCCTGATTGACAGTCGCCTGGAGCTGAAGATTAAGGGAAGTTTCATGATTTAATGCAAGATTCATGAGTGACTAATGACACTATCATTAAAATGCTTTTTCTGTAAAGATGCTTTGAAACGATCTGCGCTATACAAATAAATGTGAAACTGATTTCAGCTCTATGTACAGCATGGTTTTATTCAGCGTTCATATACTTAGTGACTTTGATGATCATAATGGTAAAATGAGATGGAATGTGAATCAATTCAAAGAGGTCAAATAAAAAAGTTTAGCTAAAATTACCACAGTGTTTCTGTTAAGTCTAAAGATGACCATTTAAAGAAAACCGTTTCATTGCCAAAAAAATCCCTCAAGCGTCGCAGCAAATGTTTTTACATGCTTCTGAAAGCTGTCCAACCAATTCCTGTATCCTGTACACATGATCACACACTGAGCTCTTATTTGTCGGTACTGCAGGGGTCGGGTTTGTTTCACGTGTGCTAAGAAACCGTTAATATTGCTTTATTTGGTCACAAAACTAGAAGCTTTTCCAGAGGTTTTGTGGGCTCAAAGCTGCAGGATTCTATTTTGCACAAAACAGTATGAACATTTAAAAACAAGCTGGCTCGCAGTATCAAACGACAGGCTTTTTATTAAAAACAATGAAATCTACAAACGTCACACATCTGTCAGTATCTGCATTCATCATCTCACACACCAATAAACACTTCACAACATAGAAATATGATCTGGTAGTCATTTAATGAAACACAATGTGTGTAAAACTGAATCCTGCTCAGAGGATCTAATTAACCGTTCGTTAAGCGCTCTGAGATTTGTACAGTAGCAGCGAAGCGTCAGCCGGCTTCCTCTGCAGAACAGTCAATGCCAGCGTATGTGAACTTCTCATAGAGCGTCGTGTTGACGTACGTCTGGAGAGAACAAGAGGAGAGCATTTACAGCAAAATAACATGCAGTTTAAAACCATCAGAGCACTTTGACTGGAAGACAAATAATGCTCCATCTCTGGATCTCATACCTTCCTCTCTTCCAGCATACGATTGAGTGACATCAAGATCTGAGCGAATGAAGGTCTCTCGAAAGGTTTCTCCTTCCAGCACTGCTTCATCAGCTCATACCTGCAGAGACAGAGAAGCAGACTCATCTCCACTCTATCATCCGCAGATGGACACAGGTGTTTGAGACTTACACCTCGTCGTCACAGTTGAGCGGCTTCTCCAGCTGATAGCCCTGCGGGAGTTTCTCGTACAGCTGCGCGCACGTCATACCGCAATACGGCGTTCCACCTGCCAATCAAAGCCACCAAATCACATCATGCCAGTAAGAAAACAGACATTATCAGACCTTGAACTCTGACTGCATTGATCGTGTGACAGACCTAAGCTGACCACCTCCCAGAGCAAGACACCATACGACCACCTGAGCAGAGAGACACGGTTACTCTCAGCACAAAACACACACACACACACTCACAGGTTTGTTTTTGTGAAAAGTGGGGACATCCCATAGGCGTAATGGTTTTTATACTGTACAGACCGTATATTCTATTGCCCTACACCCACCCTACCCCTAAACCTACCCCTCACAGGAGACTGTGCTATTTCAGATTTTCAATACACTCCATTCTGTGTGATTTATAAGCGTTTTGAAAAGTGGGGACATGGGGTAATGTCCTGAAAAGTCACCTTCTCCTTGTAATACCTGTCATAACTTTGTCATTATACAAATTTATGTCCTAATTTGTCACAAAAACGCACGCGCGTGCGCGCACACACACACACACACACACACACACTCACACTCACACAGACACACTCTCTCACATACTCTCACACACACACTCTCACACACACACACACACACACACACTGACACTCACACAGACACACTCTCTCACATACTCTCACACACACACTCTCACACACACACACACACACACACACTCACACTCACACAGACACACTCTCTCACATACTCTCACACACACACTCTCTCACACACACAGACACTCACACACACAGACTCTTACACATCACTGTTGGTGGTGTAAACGCTGTAGTTGAGAGATTCGATGGCCATCCATCTCACTGGCAGATGCCCCTGCAGAGAAACATGCATGTTAAAATCATCACATTCATTAATGCATGACAAGATCAGCAGCCTTCGGATCATTACCATGGTCTTCTTCACGTAAACCTCCTGACCTCGGGACAAGCCGAAATCAGCAATCTTTGCCACAAAGTTTTCTCCCACCAGGATGTTTCTGGCTGCTAGATCTCTGTGGATAAACTGCAAAAGAACAATATTCATGGAGAAGCTGATTGTCATTGTTATTCAGAAATGTTTTTACAGCCTTAATCTGGAGTTAATTAATTGTGCAGTGGTGCAAATCTGGAACCAGCAACCCTCCGGTTATCACCACACCGCCTCTATATACTATGACTGAAATAAATTTGCATATCGACTACAGTGTAAATGATTCCATTCTGTGAGAAGATAGCAGACCACCCCACCGGGCCCCCATGCTAACTGCACACCATCAACAACAACGCATGAAATGAGTCCAAGATCACCGAGATTGGACTGTGAATGATTGGAAGAAAGTGGCCTGGTCTGATGAATCAAGTTTCCTGGTGTATCTCATCAACGGATACGCCGATTACCAATGGAGACTATAGGTGCTTTCGCACCACGTAGTTCTAGGAACTCAGTTCTAGGAATTTGCCAGCAGGATTGTTCCTAGAGAACCAATTTCTCCCTCGGGGCGTTTTCCTGGTTGCATTGCAGCAGGAACTCTGAAGCAGCTGACAGCAACGTCTTTATTCATGGCATTTACAAACATCAATAACCGGTGAATGGAGGACGCCGTGATTGGAGTTTTTGTTGTGTCGTGGATTTGTGATAACAGAGATGGAATGTAAACGCACAATTTACGCGATTGATTGAACATGAAAATTTGACCTAATCTTCTATGACAACTTTTAGTGTTATTTTTTTCTTTTAGTGAAAAGAACACAGTGCTGCAGACAACAGGCAAATTCTGTTATTGCTGTTTTCCATGTTCGTGGAGTAAATATTTTTACATGGGTTTTTAAAAATGCTGGGTAGCCGTTGTTTCGTATGTGTTTGGCCAGTCAGTGTACACTTACGTCACTGGTAGTTCCTATAGAACTGTTTTAGACCTTACTCTGAAGTAGGAGCTAATTTAGTTCCCCCAAATGGAGTTTCTAGAACTAAATACGTTCACAGTTCCTGCAGTGCGAACGCGTCAAAAAGCGGAAACTTCCGCCAATAGTCACCACCACCCCACAATGTACAGGAACTGGAGGACCTGCTGTTGATATTATGGTAGCAGATAGACCAGAAGATGTGTGAACCACTTCGTCGAATTAATGCCTTGCCGCTGTTTTGTGGGCTAAAGGAGGTCCTACAGGTTATCAGATAGGTGGTCATAATGTAATGCCTCATCGGTGTATAAAATGATAAGAAATCATTAAAAAAATAATAATTAATAGTAATAATAATCAGAATCAGAAAGAGCTTTTTTGCCAAGTGTGTTCACACACACAAGGAATGTGTCTTGGTGTTAGGAGCTTCCGGTACAGAAAATACAAACAAAGTGCAGACATACATAAAATGAGAGAATAGAAAATAAATTAGAAATAACAATAGTAATA